AGGGAATGGGGGAGAGAAGGGGAGGTAGTGGGCTGCACCATTTTGTACTTGGGCTTGTCTAAAGTGGCGCTGGTTATGTTGCAGATCTATTAATATTTTAGCCCAATATATCTCAAAATATTACCATTTACACATGTAATTATTTATTATAATTACTGAATTAAATTAATAAGTATTATTAAATAATTATTGAAATAAAATTATTAATGAGATCTTTTACTTTCCTTTGCATTAAGTATTCAAAATTTGGTGTATAGTTCACATTTATAGCACATCTCAATTTGCCCTAGCCACATTTCAAGTGCTCAGTAACCACATGGCTATTATATTATACAGCATAGTTCTGGACTTTAATACAGAGGGCTCTAAACTGGGATATATCCAAATGGGAGTAGGGCAGAGGTCTGTATAGTTGAAAACCACTGCTCCAAGCTTTTGGGTTGCAAGCAATGCAGATATACCATTTCTAAACTCAATCTGTGTATTAGCGAAGTAACAGTAGTTTTATATGCATTTTTAAAACACCAATCTGTTTTCAAGATAGTCTGGCTAAATATTTCTTAAAAAGACACACTTTGATGGCATAAACCAAGTCAGAGTGATAATGTTAGCTGTGTCATTTTAGTCCACTGGTAATAAGAACCAATAAAATTTGGAGTTCTGACTGAGAGCCAGGTATACCTTGGAATGGTCACAAATTGAATTTATCTGTAGACGTTGCCCACCTTAGTGAGATATTCCTGGCCTTCTACTTCTGAGTCCCTTCCTTGACAGTACTATTTGATGACTCATTATTTAGCCTATTTTTTATAACTAACTGTGGTTACCCTTTTTGGAAAATCATCTTAAAATTTCTTGAAGTGACTCAGACAAATTATATCTTCATATTTGGGTAATGTGTTTGTGCACATTGTTTCATAACTGTGTACTCTGCCGTGTGTATTTTTTTTTAACTAAATTCTTTCATCTACCTTGAAGTAGTGTTGTAACTATAAACCTATAATTTACTCTACTTTTAAGCTCTTCCTTCTGATAAACTTATCTATTCATATTTGGTCTAATTATAGCTTAGGGCATAACCATGTATATTATTCACCTGAGTGAGTGAGCTTGTTTGGCAACAAGAGGCTGTTGTTGCCAAAGCTTTACTGTCATCTGTGCTGAATATACTATCTGTGCCTCATTGCCAACTTCAGAAGAGGTAGGCAAGGGGGAAGTTGGAGCAGGAATGCTGTACTCTGGTCCCTCATACCTACCACTGTCTCAATGTATTTCTGCCCTTTGCAATAAGCTAGGATAACTTTGCTTTTTAAGAAATTACTTCATCTTTTCTTTAAATAAAATAAATTAAAAACTGTAAGTAAAGTTGAACTCTGCTTCATTTACCATCTCTAGATCTATTTCCTCCCATCTCCCCACTCCACCTCAACCCTCATTCCTTGTACAGCCACTGTCATGGGTTTAGGTATATCTTTCCAGTCCACTTCTTCAAAGACTTTGACATTGGTATGTATCCATAAGGGGCCGGCCTGTGGCTCACTCGGTAGAGTGCGGTGCTGATAACACCAAGGCCACGGGTTCGGATCCCATATAGGGATGGCCGGTTCGCTCACTGGCTGAGCGTGGTGCTGACAACACCAAGTCGAGGGTTAAGATCCCCTTACCGGTCATCTTTAAAAAAAAAAAAAAAAAGATATGTATCCATAAGCAATGTAAAGTATTTATGCAATAGGTTCTGTTTTTAATTTATACAGTAGGATCACACCATACATATGCTGCAACTTGCTTTTCTTACATAACATTTTCATAGACTTTTGACATACTTTTTCTTAATATAAAAATTTGATGTATATATAAGAACATATCTAACACGTAAGTAGGTTATGAAACCTAGTAATAAAACAAGTAACACCTGAATCTACCACACACACTGAGAAACAGAACAACCCAGAACCACTGAAGCTCCTATGTGCTGCTCCTCCAACCTTTGCTCCCTACCCATGAAACCAGTCTTCTGAACATCTTTCTTATTCATTTTCTTGCCTTACCCCATATTTATGTGTCTGTCAACAATATATTTTCTTATTTGCTTGCTTTTAAACTTTGTAGAAATAGTATCATACTGTATATATTCTTTTAGGACTTGCTTTTTTGTTTATTCGGTATATTTTCAAGATTCATTCATGTTAATCTATGTATTTTCATTGCTGTATATTATTCCTTTGGGTAAATTTATTCAGTTTTCTGTGAATGGACATTTGTGTTGTTTCCAATTTTGCTGTTACAAATAGTGCTTCCACAAACATTCTTGTACATATCTTCAGGTACATATGTGTTAACATTTCTCTGGAGATTATACCTAGGAGTACAATTGCTATTTGTAATATAGGAGTACATTCAACTTAACTAATAAGCCCACATTCTTACCCAAAGTGATCAAATACATTCATCAGCAGTGTATAGGAGTTAATGGTTTTTCCACATCTTCTTCAACACTTGTTTTTGTCAGGCATTCATTTTTTGCCTATATATTTTGTAAAATAATATTAATTGCAATTCCCTGGTTTTGATGAGATTGAGCATTTCTCATATGATTATTGTCCATTCATGTTTCTTTGTGGAAATGTTTATTCATGTCTTTTCTAATGGATTGTTAGTCTTTTTCTTATTGATTCTTAGGAACTTGTATATTCTGGACACTAGAATTTGGTCAGTTTTATATGATTGAAATATCTTTTTTCAGTTTGCGGCTTGCTCTGTCATTCTCTTCAGTGAAACTCTAAAATTTTTACTTTGCATTTAAGTGTTTAATCTTGTCTGTAACAGAGCTTTATATATTTATGGAGGGTAAAAATCCAATTTTCCTATTTTCCAAATACAAAAACTGTTTTCCTAGCCCCATCAGTTCTGACATATACCAGGTTTTTATATGTGTGTGAAAAGGTTTGAGGAGTTTCTTTAAGACTCCAGACAAACTTTAGAATCAACTTTTTTCATTTAAAAAAAAATGTTGGACATTTCATTGGAATTGTGATGGATCAATTTGGGGAAAATTGACATCCGTAGGATACTGGGTCACCCTACCCATAAACTTGATATCTCTCATTTATTTAATTCTCTTGACTATACTTCAATAAATTTTATAATTTTCTCCATAAAGATCTGATATATCTTTCATAGGTTCCTTATATTTTTAATACTGTTGTAACTTATTTTAAAATACATTTCTACTTTTGTTGATGTATTGAGATGAAGTAGATATTTGGATATCGATCTTATATCCAGCCACTTTGCTACACTCTTTTATTAAGCTTAATAAATTGTATATAGATTTGGGGTTTTTTTCCCGTGAGCATAAATACTGCAAATACTAATAGTTTTATTTCTTTCATCCCAATCCATATACATTTTATTTTTCTTGTCTTTTTCATACTTTGGTGAATATGATCTCTAGCACAGTACTGATTAGAAGTGGAGATAGCAAGCATCCATGTCTTCTTCCTCAATTTAAAGGGAGTACTTTTAATATTTTACCACTGAATACAGTAGTTGCTGTGAGGGTTTTGGTAGATGTCCTTTATCAGGTTTAGGAAGTTTCCTTCTATTCCAATTTTGCTAAGAGTTTTTTGTTTTGTTTTGTTTTTTAATCATGAATAGCTATTAAAGCCCACTGAGTCCTTTTTCTGCACCTATTGAGATTATTATTTTCTCCTACTTTATTCTGTTAGGTGAGTTACATTAATTTTTTATTATTAAGCCATGCTTGCATTCCTGGAATAATCCCAGCTTGGTTAGGATGCTCTTTTGATATGCTGCTCAACAGTGAATTTTTTATAGATATAAACCAATTTCAAAATAAGGAGGAAAAGAAGCTAAGTCTTTGGCACTAAAATCTTTCCCAAGCACCTTAGTAGGGTTGCTTACCTTGCTATAGGGTGTGAGAAGAATTCCTAGCTATGATGTAGGTAATAGCTTAATAAAGTAAAAAGAACACTGTAAAAGCTAAGTCTTTGGCACTAAAATCTTTCCCAAGCACCTTAGTAGGGTTGCTTACCTTGCTACAGGGTGTGAGAAGAATTCCTAGCTATGATGTAGGTAATAGCTTAATAAAGTAAAAAGAACACTGTAGAGCTGAATTCTATCTCATTTTTCCCTCTGTTCACCTGAGAAAACTGATGCAATTCAGTTGACTCATGAGGGCTTTATATTCCTCAGTGAATTTTTCTGACACTCAGAGACATATGTTTCCTGCTAGTAGCCATATGGCTTCTTCACTTGCTTTGCTATTAATCCACCATCCAACAAACATTTACTTACTATGTATTAAGGACAAATCAAAATCTGTTTGACATAGAACATGGAACTTCTAAGGAAGGACAGAAGAAGTAATTGTCACAGAACAATTATAAAACAAAATGATAAATCTTAGTATCTGCAAACCATACTGGTCATGATGTATTGGGTGGGGGTAAGGGGTCAGGGAATCCTTTAGGTGGGGAAATAGAAAGGAAGAAGATGCAGATGATATATGATACTTGAGCTGAGTCTTCTGAATGATGGATGTTTACTGATCTTCAGGAACTGTATTTGTTAGATAAGGAATTTGATTAGTTGTTCTCCAGCAGCCATTCTAGCTTTGAAATTTTGTCTCTTTGACTCCAGGGCTATGTCACTCTTTTCAGGACTTCACAGATAATTTAAGCTTTATTAAACATTTGTGCTCCTACGTCTGGCCCATGGTCCTTCAAATCTTTTGTTCTATAGGCTTAGGATTTTGAATGGTGAAACAGAATTTACTTGGTTCTGTTTTAGTAAGTAATATCAAAATATTTTATTAATACAATAATGATATTGACATAGGAATCATAATATAGAATTAACCTATTAACTTTGTTGTGTTTTTATGGGATTGCTCAATTTATCATAACCATAGATACATTTTTTTAATTCCAGGCTTTATGTAATTTCTAAGCACATTTCATTTGTATGTCTTATTTCAGTGCTGGACCCAAAGGAGACAACATTTATGAATGGAGGTCAACTATATTGGGACCCCCAGGATCTGTCTATGAAGGAGGGGTGTTCTTTCTTGACATTACCTTTTCACCAGACTATCCGTTTAAACCCCCAAAGGTCAGTATGAAATATTCATCCATTTTTAGTAATATGTATTCTTATATGTGTATATACATATACATATTTTTGAATATATCTCTCTCTAGGAATGCATGTCTATTCTGTTAGCATAGACAACTTCCCAGGACTGATAGTATGTAAAAGGAGACAGAACATAAAAAATTATAATTTATTTTCCCCAACCCAACTTTTTACTCATATTTCACTGCTTTTCTCATCCTTTCTCATTGTCTCTTTTCTGTGCTTATATGTTTTAATGTAACATAAAAATCCATCTTTCATGGGTGGAAGTGGGGGAGTGAGGTTGAGCCAGGGCCAGCCCTAAAGCCCAGAGAACCAGACATAGTGTAGAGCCAGAGCCGACCCCAACCCCAGGAGTTGGGCTAAAAGGCAAAGGAAGCCTCATCAAGGCAAGGTTTATAGCACAGCTTTGGAGCTTTGAGTTTTGGTGCCTCCAAGGTTCAGATGCTCACATGAAGTACACATTCACTAAAATGGAAAGTGTGAGCCACAGAGACTTAAAAATTGAGCCAAGAAAATTCAATAAAGAAGTATTTATAATAGTCCATTTCATTAATGAAACTGATTAATTGAAAAGTCATTTATGTCCACATCTAAAGAAAGTGCAAGAGTGCAGTATAATCAGAACATGGAAGAACTCTCACTTTTTTAAACCAAAATTATATCCTCTGTCTTCACTTTGCCTTTTAGTGCTTATCAGTCATTTGACTATTTTAAGTATCATCTCCATAAGCATTTGTTCTCCACCGTGGCAAAGGAAAAGACCCTGAGGACACTCTCTATGTATTGGCCACCAGAAAAGAATTCTCATCTGGCTCTGACTTAACTTCTCAATGCAGAGGGAAATAAAACTTCTTTGAGTTACAGGTTGGAGTAAACAATTTTAAAAACAAGTATAAAACTAGACCTTCACCATGACTTTCTGTAATTCCTCTCTTTTCTTTTTTTCCCTCCTTCCTTCCTTCCTTGCCATTGATGCTTGGATAGTGTTTTGATATAAAAACAAAAAGTGATAGCTATAATTGTCCTCCTTTTACCAATGACAAAACCAAGGCACAAAGTTACTTGCCCAGCATTATACAACAAGCAAATCTTAGTGTCAGGATTTGAACCTGGGAAGTCTGGCCCCAAAGTCCATGCTCCCCAGTACATTACGAAACACATTTTATCCAAGCTGACAGGCCTAGTGGCACTGGTGACCGCCCAGAGCTTGCATTTGGTAGATTTTCAATGAGCCATAGTGAATCTAATACTTATTTTCTGCCTTTAGTGGATGGGAACCCATTTTATCCAAGCTGACAGGCCTAGTGGCACTGGTGACCGCCCAGAGCTTGCATTTGGTAGGTTTTCAATGAGCCATAGTGAATCTAATACTTATTTTCTGCCTTTAGTGGATGGGAACTGTATACCTTTCCATTCTACTTTTGACTATCTTATAAATCACCTGGAGTACCTTTTGCACTACCAGAGATGTGAGCACCTTTCTTTAATAGCTTCTGCAGTAAAAGATGTACAGAGTGAGGAAAAGAGAGGAAGACTCAGACCAGGCAGTTGTGCTGGTTGTAAATCTGGTGTGGTCTGTTCTATGAAATAGAAGTCTGAGAAAATGTGTGGACTTATTCAAGTTCTGCATGACAGAAATTTGTAGATTAAACAAAGCTGTAGGGGAGAACTAATAAGTTGGATAAAAGAACTCAATTTCTGAAAAGGTGTTGATGGACTGGAAGGATAGGTCAAAACTAACAAGGTGGAATTTAACATGACTGAAATGTAGTATTTCATTGAGAATCAGAAAAAATCATGATACAAGATAGGAAACGAGAGACCTGCTTTATTTTCATATATAGTATTTGGGGGCTCTTGGCTGACTAAAAATTCAGTGGGAACTTGAGGTTCTTGCATCCTTAAGGAGGCATTTTTAGGAGTACAATATCCGAAACTGAGCCAATCACATGGTATCTAGAATGCCTCATTTGTTTCTGAGCTACTCATTTCAAGAACAAATGGGAATAAGCTGGGTGGACAGTCATTAGCATTCTTGAGTTTCTTGACTGAGTCAAGTGCTGTACTGGGCATCAGCTGTGTCAACTCATTTCTTCTCCAGAACACTCTAGTAAGGCTGGGATTTTCCCCATTGACAGAAAAGGAAACTTAGATGAGACTTAAGATGTTTTCCAAGAAAATACAACCAAGAATCTACTGAACTCTGATTCAAGGGGCTATGTACTTTTCACCGGATTATACACAGTCGTCCTGGAGAGGTTTGCTGGTAAAAATAGGTCATGGGAGGAATGTGATATCTACCCTCATATATTTCAGGGACTGTGATGTGGGTTGGGATAAAACTTTATCCTGGATGGCTGGATGGGACAAAAATAGTAACAGGAGGGTCTCAGTTACAGGGAGTAGATTTTAATTCTTTAAGAGGAAAATCTGACCCACAGTTGGACAGTCTGCTGTTGAAATAGCACTACTTGTAAGATACCGTACTTCCCTTTACTGGGAGTGTTCAAGTAAAAGCTGAATTACTACATGTCAAAAATATTACCAGAAAATATTGAATCCCTCCACTGAATGAATTGGACTAGACAACCTCTAAGGCAAAAGAAAAATCAAACTTTGGTAACTGTGATCACAATTTAAATGCACATTTAATAGAAACCTGTGGGAAGTTGATAAAAGTAAGTTATCACCTTCTAATTTATCAGTTTTAGAAATCAGATTTTGTAGACATATATTACTCTAGGGAGAAAAAGTTTGTGAGTGTATTAAAAGCTGTTAACTTAAACAAATACTTTTATTATTAATAGTTTTTAAGTGCCACATTCATGCCTTTCTAGTCTCTTCTCACTCCAAATAGCCCACATTCAGGGCTGTCTTATTTGGTTTTTTTCGTTTGTTTGTTTTTTTCTCTGCTCCTTTACTCATTTTTCTACATTAGCCATGCATTTTGACTCATGTAACATTTCCCAGTACTCTGAAGAATTACCCAGGGAAGCAGCAGGTGTCAAGGGAAATTTTTTGTTGAGAGCGGAGGCTCACAAATAAATATAATAGACTATCTACTGGTTGTCTATGTAGACATTTAATACTACATAAAATTACTCTATAACGTGAGTGGAGTCATGAGATTATTTTTTCCACATTCTCAAACTTGGAACCCTTAGTGAGGACTTTAAACACTAGGGAGCTCAAATACAGCTTAAAAGTCAGTGGAGCAATTTGGAATGCCTATTCTTGCTATAGGATCTTTTTTTTTTTTTTTTTGGCTCTGTTGCTTCTCTCTATCGTATTTTTATTTTATTTATTTATTTTTATTTTATTTATTGAATCAAAATTGACTATACTATTTTAGGGGTTCAACACTGAGATATGTTGATCAAATCAATATTACTAGCATATATATTGTTACAAATCATAATTATTCTTTATGACCCTTGTCCAATCTCTCCCCATCCCCCACTAATTACCGTAGATTTTTTCTCTCCTTCTGAAAGAATAATGGTTACTCTGTTAATTTGTTGCCTAGATGATCGGTCCAATGCTGAGAGGTGTGATCAGTTCCCCCAGTATTATCATAGGGCAGATGATGCTTCTGCCACTCTGAAATGGGCTTTGTGGAGAGAGACATCCTCTTTTTTTTCTTCGTCTCTGCTGGTGATTCTCCTTGTGTCAGTACACTCCAGTGGTGGTGGACTTTCTGCGTGGTGGTTGTGGTGTCTAGTCGCTTTTGCGGCAGCCATGATTACTGTGGTGGCTATGGTGGGCCATGCACATGGAGGTGAAGTTTTTGGCATGCTCCTTGGTGCTGGCAGTATACCTGGTTGTGGGGTGTGCCTGGTTCTCTTCTCCATGCCTCTGGTCCCCGAGTGGGCCCCAAGGCGCTGGTGCAGTGTGCCTAGTTGTGGGAGGGGGGTCCAGTCTCCTTCTCCATGCCCCAGGTCACCAGAGGGCCCCAAGGTGCTGGCATAGTGTGCCTGATTGTGGGAGGGCAGTCTGGTCCCATTCTCCATGACTTGGGTCCCTGGGTGGACCCTAAGGTGCTGCCATGGTGTGCCTCGTTGTGGGAGAGTTGTCCGATCCCCTTCTCTACGCCCCGGGTCACCGGGTGGGCCCCGAGGTGCTGGCATGGTGTGCTGGTTGTGGGAGGAAGGTCCAGCACCTGGCTCCATGCCTTGGGTCACTGGGCGGGGCCCAAGGTGCTGGCACAGTGTGCCTGGATGTGGGAATAAGGTCCGGTCACCGGCTCCAAGCCTCTGTTTGCCAGGCAGGCCCCAAGGTGCTACTGGTGTGCCTAGGCCGGAACTGATTTTTTGTCCTTTGCTTCTAAAATGGGGGAACTTCCTGTGGGAACCAGTACTTGAGCTGTGTGGTTGAGCTAAATTGCTGCTTTGCTGTTGTTTCCCTAGGGAAGGCTTTTTGTGCAGCTCAGGGTTTAATGGTTGACCATATATGTACTTCCTGCTCTCCAGAGACTAGGTGGATCTCTGTTGTGTAGAAACTCTGATCTGGGCCTGAGTTTTTTCATCGAACTGCACCCCGTACAATTCTGCATTCCCGACCAGTCTCCTCTGAGTGGTCTTGTGTTGATTGGGGGTCAGATCGGTTGTCCTTGCTGTGTCCCCGTGTTCTCCCAGTGGGCCCATCTCCCCCATGCTCCAAACACTTCCCATGGGACAGGTCCTGTGCTGGTCCCTTGCTATGACTCACTGGCTTCTGAATGGCTCCCTTTTTCAGTTGTTCTGGCTCCTTGCTCCTGTGTGGGTCCACAGGAACACCATTAGTGGTCTTGCTGTCCTGGGGACCACCAAGGTCCTCTTCTCTCCTGCTGCCTCCAAGCAACTTCATCTGAAGGGCATAGCTGTGGCTTCTGCCGGCTCCTGCTCCATGCACTCATCAGCTCCGGCCTTAAAGCAGCCGTGGCATGAAACGCTCAGAGCAGTTTTTTCTTTCTCTCGCCGTGGTTTCTTCGCCTT